TTCTTTCATAATTTGTTCGTTCTTTTCTTATAAATGAAAGGCCGCGTCCACACAGAGATAGGTTTACGGAACTTAATTTTCGCGCAAAGTTCCGTGAAGTTTCCATGCTAGTGTTGACAGGGCTTTCACAAAAAATGTGCCCAACACGAGTAAACGCATCTTATGCACCCCTTCTTCTCCGACACGTTAACCTGATGGTTTGTATTGATGTTTCAAAACGAATGAAAAGGGGCGACAAACTATAGGCGGCCCATGGGCGGCAAGTAGGTAAATCCAGCCCTGATTTTCTCAAAAATAAATATTTTCACCGAAAGAATTTGGCAACGCTGGGATGCTCAGATGGTGTAGTTCCTGTGGAAGGCAGTATTCTCTGGTCTTGGTTCATTCCTCATTCACTGATGATCCAAATCAATGGTGTTTCTCAAAGCACCGAATCAACCTTCCTCTCTCCTTCTCTCATCTGGTATCTTTTCGTCTCGTGCGGAAATAAAGCAGAGAAGTCGTTCCCGTCCCTCAAAAGCAACTATCTTGAGCAAAGAGTTAGTCCCTGTCTATCTTTAGGGCATCTGAACGTTTGCGGGAATGGACCGCTATTTTGGCTGCTTGATGAATCGAAAACAGGCAAGATACCAGTCTCCAACTTCTGAAACCTCGACGGAAACAAGGGAGTCAACTTTTTCTTCGATGTCGGGCGTTGCCAAAATTTTAGCAAATCTTGTGAAATTGATAAGCTTAGTTTTTCAGTGAAAGTTTGGAATGATGATTGGGCGTATTTACACTGCAAGGAACTACGTAAAAAAATGAATAGAATCAAAATGAGGGCACACAAATCCCGTACGCACAGCTCCTTTTGATTTAACATACATTTGCACGTGGTTTTGTTTAGCATAAATTACGTTTAATCAAGATACCATCTCTAAAATATGTGACACTTAATTTGAGATTATATGATACCTTTTTCATTTTCCTGACCTTCCTAAAAATTCAGTTATAGTGACTTAGAAATCCCACAAAATCAGAATAAAATCCGACGGAATTGCGTCGAGCTACTGAATAGATTTGAGCCATTCTGCGAGCTAAGGAAAAACGCTGTATGAGCGTTTAGATGTTACCAGATTTACTTCAATAATAACCAAATTTTCTTGGAAAATTGCGAATTTTCCTTCAAATTTTCCAGATTGTTCGCAATTCGATCTAAAATATCGGAAAATTTCAAGGAGAGATATGGGTACCTTTCCTGAAAAATACATGTTTTATCTAGAGAAATTGGCGACTCTCGGATGTTCATACGGCGTTTTTCCTTAGCACGGCAGTATTTGTGAATGGAGCAAAGCAAAAGCATTGCAGTGAATGGTATAAAGAAAGTGTAAAAGTTTTTCCCTTAGAACTTTCTTTGAGCATAAATCGATCAAAATCCCTGCAGACCACGGACGTGCTACCCTTTGCAACCCCTTAAAACATGCCCCAAAATGATTAAACAAAGGGCATTTTTATGTGAAAATTACCTATACTTATGCATGCGAAACGTACGTATTGCGATTTTAAAATGATGAACATTCCGACTGTTAAATAATTTGCTGACAAGAATATTTGTGGCAATTATGAAATGAGTGGTCGCTGGTTTCATTTCCTCCTCTCCGATAATAGGGCGTATTTCTATCAAACGGAACTATGGGCATTATGATGTGAGCCCTGTTATACATATATTCTTATGGGTCTCAGGGCTCATGTCTTAATGCACATAGTTCCGTTTGATAGAAATACGTCCTAAAGGACTCATCCCAGGAGGAGCCTTGGCGGACATTTCGGGCTTAAATAAAAGTATCTCATGCGAGCGGCAGTTTTTTCGCAGATAAGAGGATTTAAGTCCTTCCTCAGCACAGTTGAAGCCTCCTCAAACAAATTCCTGGCTATGAGCCTTGGCATGGAATTTATCGCGAGGCGTAAAATTGCCGCGAGGGCATATGGAGCCTTTTATCTCTGCCCCTTCTTTTTGACCGACATTTCTGTGCCGCCTCTTTTTTTACATCTCACACATTGAGCCATGCGCTAATTCCACGTTTCCCCGCCGCGAAGTGGATCCGACCCCGGGATTACTTGGACGATGCTTATCAAAGAAGAGCCGATTTTTTTTTTAGCTTATTTCGGGAGATAAAAACATATCTGCAATTTGATCTCTCGACCCGGAAGTACTTTTTCAAGCGCTATAATCCAACGTCACTGCGCCACAAGTAGACTTTTTTTTTAAAATTTATTTTATTTTTTAAAAAATCCTCCCCTCTTTGGCACTTTTCCAGTGGTCTATTGATTGGCTTAATAGAAACATTTCTGAGTCGAAGGAATTTCAATGTTCTACAGGTAAATAAATTAATTTGCAACTAGTTTTAATTCGTGAAATCATCAGTTCATTTTAAAAGAAAATTCGAGGAACTGCTTTTATCAAATGAAATGGAACTATGTAAAATGAGCCAATACATTCGTAAATACTTACGTAAATATTTTGTCCCACAATATTTCAGCTAAATTCGTCCCATTACTTTGGGCTTTCATATAGCGGAGACATCCACTCGCTTCCCGGAACATTACGTAATTTCGAAATGGCCCTGAGTTTCCTTTTCAAAGGGGTGTTCGTGTTTTATAATACAAGTACCTATCGTAACCGGAAAAATAATCTCGAAGGCGGTGTTTTAAAATTACCTCTATTATTTTACATTTTCCAAAGAACTTCGATTAATATTTTCGCATAATATATTGTCCAAAAAAAATCCTTAAATTGTCAAAGAAAAAAACAAGGCAATTTTACAATGTACTTTTTGCATTCTGCTATTAATTAGCTGGAAATTTATTTGGTGTCATAAAAAGAGATTTTTACTTGCGTAGTTTCATCAATGAGGCTTACATTTTTACTTCATATTGCAACAAAGACCGCTGTCTCTAGTTCATCCATAAATTACCCATTTAATTGCCTAAGGCATCTAGGTGATGAACTAATGACACATATTATGTCCCTTTTATGAGCAAAAAATAGTGAATTTTCAGTTGTTATGCTTCCTCCTAATTTAGCCAATTTGAAAGGTGACGTACGAGGCACTTGCGTGAGGCTTTTTGCCTTTTGAGAGGTAAAAGTTGAAATTTGAAAAAAAAAAAAAAAACACAATCAAATTATTCTTTATTCCCGTTTGTGACATTGTGGAGGCCCAAAATACGGGAACCAATCAGAAATGGATTCACATTGTCTTAACTCTCAGTATAAAGGTACTCTACTTTCTTCCACACTGAAAAAAAATCTCGGTGTATTTACTAAGAAAAGGGTAAAATTACTAAGAATTCAGGGTTCTATTTGATCCCAGTTTTTTCTTGGTAAAATTACCATTTATGGAATTGGTAATTTTACCGAGATCTCTCGGTAAAATTATTGAACTTTCTCGGTAATTTTATTGGACCTTGGTAAAAACACCAATATTTTTATCGACTGTGGTAGAATTATACCGAGATAAAATGGCTAAGTCACCGGGCATTAATTACCAATAAAAGTGGTATTCTTACCTGAAAAAACGGTAAAAATACCGGTTTTTAGGTAAGCTTACCAGTCTGTCTTGGTAAAATTACCAATAATTGGTAAAAAAAGTGAGATGGTAAAGGTACCAACGGACCTTGGTAAAAACGCCAAGAATTTTTTTTCAGTGCAAGGGGACATCCGTTTCCATTTTTCCCGCTTGGACCCCACTTTGCGCCGCCGCTCGGGCGGGTAGCGGAACGGGGAGTGACGCGTTTCGAGTGCCAATTCGATATTTCGGGGGTGGAATCGAGGGGAGGGCGCAATCCATTGGCGTTGGGCTCCCAGAATGACCGTGGGAAAAATACAAAATTTATCGCCCGCATTTTATCGGGGATTCCGCGGGGATATCGGCAACCCGACGCGGAATCGGGGCACCGAATAAAAACCGCCGTCCCGCCACCGTACACATGTTCGCTTCGTGGCTTTCTTCCTCGTGAATAAATCTTCAGAACCCCCTCACCCCCCCCCCTCTCTGTTGCAGTCAAGTGCTCGATTTGAATGCCACGGATTCCGTCCGATGGCGCCTAAAGTCGCTTTGTTTACGTGCCCCGTTATTTCAGTCCGGTTGAGAAATTTGGCGGGTGCCCTTGTTCCCTATATCCCTCGGAAAAATATTCCTCGAATCGCACGGTGAATCTTTAAAATATTGTTTGAGATATTCTAATGTAACCAAATAGGATGCTATAAAAACATTGGGAAAGAGGAGTGTGTAGTTTGTTGTGCGCAAAAATATCTTGAATAATGGATTGAATTATGATAAATTTGCGAGTAATATAACTATCCTTTTTGTTCGGAAAAGGGGTCGCTTATCATAGGTGGGCATATTTATACGATTTGGAAATAGGTGTAAATTGCTCGATGAGAGGGTGAAAAGAGAAAATTCTAGCAAAACTGACCAAAGAATTATAAACTCGATTTTCCTCTTGAAAACTGAGAAAAATGAACAAATACATCAAGAGAAACTTCCATTGAATATTTTACTCTCCAATCACAGATCTACTCCCCTACAATCAACAGAAATACAAACCCACTTACATGCGATGAACCCAATATTACCACCAAAATTCTGAAACTCTTCACCTCTCTCAATTTAAAAATCAAAATTTTCGTTTATACTCCCATTTTCAAAATTATCTGTAAAGACGCTTATAGCCTGAGACGCTGAATGTCTTAAAATAATACTAACTAACTAACTTTACGCGAAGGGATATCAGTCATTTCAAAAATGCACAATTCTAATTGTGTTAAAAAAACCTCAATTCCTTTACCAGTGATTGGTATCGGTAACAATAATTATTGTTCTAAGGCATCACGTTTTCATCGAGGAGGGCCCTCGCGATAATGAATTAATGAACGGCAAGTTGAACTCCTTCCCGTGGCTCTCTGGCCCAGTTGACAAGCCCACCCCAGGGTGGGAAAAAAAGATAGTGAATGTACTTACCAAGCGCTCTGTAAAGAGAGCAGAAAGTTATTGTCAAAAGCACGAATGGTGTGTTCCAGTGGTGGGAGTCGGAGACGGTGGCGACGCCGAGGAACATGAAGATGACCGTCTCCGAGGAGCTGGACAGCATTTTCATCGCGTATTTCACCGTCGTGTGCGACTTGTGCGATATGTTTGCTTCCACGTAGTTCTTCATCGTGATCCCGCAGAACGTAATCCTACAAAATATACCCAATTTATAAGTCAAAAACTTCCATCACACAAGTATATAACTTCAATTCACAACGAGTATCCTTTTTTCTGGCTCAATTTAGGACAAACACTCATTAGTTTCCCTATGCAGGTACGTTTTTTCATTTTTCCGTCGTCTCCTTCAATAATCAGTTCGCAGGAATGAATTTAATCCTTCACCAGTTATTCCTACTTGGCATTTTTAGGAGGGCATGCTCTGCGCTATACGATCTTTTGCGTTATCTGCCCTGGTAAAAATTGGCGATGAGAGCTGCGTTTCAAAATACCATAGGAATTCTTATAGCCGGCTAAAGAAATCTACAGAAAATCATACAGCTGGCTGTAGAATGCGGAGAAAATCATACGGCCGGGCTAAACGAAGCGATAAAAAATTATGCGGCTGGGCTAAAGTTCCTATCGCCGGGCTTTACACTTTATCGCCTGGCTGTTGCTTTTTCGCCATCGATTATAAAAGGCTATAAGAAATTGTGTAGAAATTTGTGTGCTTTGGAAATCATTAAGTTTGATACGGGACCACCTTAATATTTACGAAATACACATTATATTTTCCTTTAATACATATTTTTGTTCAACAATTAAAATGATAATAAACCATATAGGATGTGTAAACATTTCAAAATCATGAGTTGAATAACGCTGACTCCACTAGATTAAATATTAGAGCCTAACCCAAAGCGGAGCGGCGACGCACTGGCGCCTAAAAAACCTAACAGGGATACTTCACGCATTGCGCAACGCGTGAAGTATCCCTGTTAGGTTTGTAGGCGCCGATGCGTGTTGATCGCGCTGGCTGCCCGCCTGCCACGCCGCGCCGCAGCGTGCCACGGCGCTTGAAGCGACTATTTCACACCAGAGGTATTGCACAGTATCATAAGAAATGGAAGACGCTCTAATATATGAGGAATGGCAGGCATCCACCAAAAGTACGGAGCTTTCCTGGCAAAATAAATCAAGATACTACAGCCCAAAAAGAGAGCAGTAGTCCAAAAACTCACTAAGTCCTAGCATCCGTAATTAATAACGTTTAGCATACACTTTATCGCCTGGCTGTTGCTTAATCCCAATCGGCTATAAAAGGCTATGCGAAATTGTATAACCGGCTATAAAAACTATTGGAAATCTTACAGCCGGCTGTAGGTCTATGGTATTTTGGAACACAGATTCTACTGCCAATTTTTACCAGGGTGAAGAAAACTACAATTTCTGAATGAAAATTCAACAGATCATCTGTCTCTTGTTTGAGGGATGCGAGAGAATGCGAATCGGACGTATTTCTGGTGAAAAGAACTACTTGCATAGGTTTCATGTGCGACATAGTTCCTTTTACCATAAATACGTCCAAATGTAGGGTTCTGCAGCTCAGATTCTCGGCGCAAATTTAACATCGCAGTCTTTGCGAAAATGTTACTAAATATGAGAATAGCTATTTATCAATGACTTGATATTACCTATTCTGCGCGAAAGGCGAAGCATCCTTCTCCAGCCAATTACTGTTTACGTGATGTATCTAAGCTGTAATCAGGCTTGACCTCTAATATCTTTCTCGACATTAGATTTCTGTTTTACAAGATATTGGGAGCAAAGATGGACTTATTTATGCCAAAAGGAACTATGTGGAAGCGGAAAGATGAGGTATGCTCGTGGGAGCTGGATAAGAAACAATGTAAAAGTGGCTATAGTTCCTTTTGAAAAAAAGGAAAAGCGGGGTTTGACATTAAATCAAAAGGAACTGAGCGCTAAGTCGTGAGCCGTGGAAATGTAACAAGAGCGTTGTGGACAGGGCTCATGAGAGTCCCACCACCGATCTCCCCATCGTGCCCACTGCCCAGTCCCCTTGGTTGCCGCTGACGTCACTGGTTCTTTTAAATTCCCATTCATGCTTATGGCCCGGGCACTAACGAGCACACCCCATCTTTCCACTTTCACATAGTTCCATTTAGCATAAATACGTCCAGATGGATTGCATTTTGCAAGAAGGAACCACTAGCATTGCAATGTTGCTAAGATTGTGCAACTTCTTTTGTCTTCGAGGCAGAGGCGGATCCAGCAATTTGGCAACATCGGATGACCTCCATTTAAACCTATGCTAAATAATCAATTCTTGTTGGAGCACCTGGCCCTTCCAAAAATCGATAAATTTCCACAGGTTTAAATGGAAAACAGACAATTTTGCCAATTTGCTGGATCCGCCAATGCTTCGAGGAAAAATCTGATTATCCATTAATGGTTTCTATTTTACTCGCTAAAAGCTGTGAATTTAAGACAAAAATTACCATCTAAATTTCATAGTTTTTCACGATTTCCGCAATTTTATTGCAAAGGATGAAGTTGCAAAATTTTAGCATCATTGCAATGCTAGTGGTTCCTTTTTGCAAAATGCAATCCAATGTTCTAATAGGATGAGTTGGATTGCATTTTGCAAAAAGGAACCACTAGCATTGCAATGCTGCTAAGATTGTGCAACTTCTTTTGTCTTCGAGGAAAAATCCGATTATCCATTAATGGTTTCTATTTTACTCGCTAAAAACTGTGAATTTAGGACAAAAATTACCATCTAAATTTCATAGTTTTTCACGATTTCCGCAAAATTTTAGCATCATTGCAATGCTAGTGGTTCCTTTTTGCAAAATGCAATCCGGATGTTCTAATAGGATGAGTTGTTTTGGGTAATGAGAGCAATGGACTTACGCGAGGATGCCGGACATGTGGAACATCTCGGCGTTGAGGTAGGCCATGTAGGCCATGACGAAGATGAAGATGGGCTCGATGACGCGGACCTCGTTGGTGAAGCGCGTCACGAAGCCGGTCATGAAGCCCCAGACGATGCCGATGACGGTCCCGCCGATGGCCACCACGAAGAAGGAGGCCACCCCGGCCAGCAGGTCCCGGGCCATCAGCTTGTTCAGGCCCATCTCCGTGTACGCGTCGAACATGTGGTACAGCACCTGAAAGCATCCACCGAGTCATCGGTTAACAGACATGCATTACCAGCGGGCTGATAGTTGAAATTGACAGACAAAGCTATTGACAAAGAAGACAAAAAGGATATGGAGCACGGAGAAAAAAACTTCGTGCATGGGACCCGAAGTTGAGGTCATATGGATCTCTGAAGTTTTCTGATCACGCATGCGAAAACTTGGGGTCGAGCTGTCGATGTTCGGGTCAGACATCGAGGCACTTCGGTATGTACCGGAGTACTTCAGATGTGTGACCCAAACCTTTCGGTATGAATCGAAGTACTTCAGATGTCTGACCCGAACTTCGGCTGCAGGACCTCAAGTTTTTAGATACGTGATCCGAAAGCTTCAGAGATCCATATGACCTCAACTTCGGGTCCCACGCACGAAGTTTTTTCTCCGTGAGGGATCCTATAGGTGGAAGCAGGTGGCTGCAATTGACAAAGGAGGCTAGGTAATAGTTACTAACGGCAACCCTCGAGAGACCCTGGAGTTAAACCATCATTTACCCCCTTAGTCTATAAGAACCACCCAAATTAACCAATAGGATCGCTCCATACTAATTATGTCCTCTTTGTCTATCGCTTTGTCTATCAATTTCAACAATCAGCCCGCTGCAGACTCCATTACCGCACTACTATAAATTTGACTATGTACAATTGTGTCGTCGTTTCCTGGAAAGGGGGAGGGGGAGGTACAGGTAACTTCTTTCCAGAGTTACAAAACTGACTCGAACCACTCAATTTTTGGCAGGAATGTGAGCGTCCGATTTCTATTAACAATTTACCGACTTTAATTTTTAGTTCAGTCAGAGGAAAAATTAGTGAAACTTTCGTTTGACTAGTTGACTCAGTTGACTCAGACTTTGATTTTAAAGTTCCTTCAAACCGCGAGTTCTCCTGCGATTTTCACCAAAAACGTAGGTTTTCTGAAATTACGAACATCACTTTATTGCTTCATCAGTGATACTCTTGGCTAGAATTGTTCCATAATAAAAAAAATAAAATGTTGAAGCTGAGTGCAAATGTTCAAAGGAAGAGAACCAATTTCCTCTGTTTTGGAAAAAAAACGGCATTACGGAAACAGACTTATGAAAAAAATTCTGTGGCCTAAGTGGTGCCTCAATTAAGAGAGGGTACCGTCGTTTGAAATCTAATAAATTTGCATTGGAGAAGGGTCCGTGGGAACGGCGCGAGGAGAAACGCTCGGTAACAAACTATAATTGGATGGTACCTTCTCGAAAGTGGAAAAGGAGGGCAAAATAAAGAGGCTCCTTATCCGCAGCAGAAGCCTGTAATAAATGATGTAAACAACAGCGCGGAGACAGTCATCGTTCTATGAGAGCAGTTTAGCTGTCAGATAAATACTTATTTATCGCTTGGCTCCGTGTGTACGGGCCTAGCCTAGAGATATAAAATATGGTTAGCGTATGCCACTTAGCTGAGTCGTTCTATCGTCCGTTCTCCCCCTTTCCCTTAGAGAACTAACTACTCAAATTATAAAGTCCAGGCGGGGTAGGTGTAAAACTAGCGCTTCGGGAACATGTTTACGACTTGTTTGAATAATTGATCGTCTTAACTTATTCAAAAGTTTTCAGCTATTGGTTTCTCGAGCCCCCAAAAACGTGCCAATGTTTTAAAAAAAAATTCGACTACACTCCCTGTGTGGCAGGACGATGGGCTTGTATTCTAACCCGTGTCAATTTCCCCAATTTTAAAGTCGTTTCTATCGAGATCCGCATAATTTTTTTTGGAGTTATGTTGTTTTACTCGTCTTACCCTCCTATTGTACAATTTATGCACAGTTCATTTGTATCATGAACGACAATTTTTTTCAAACATTTTGGAGTCACTGAAGACGAAATTCTTTGAAAAAATAGTTATTTTTTCAGAGTTTCTTGAAAAAAAGAATTCAAACACGTCAGTGCTGAGAAGCTACTGTTAATATTTTTAAGTGTCTCTAATCACTTTTTTACTTGAAGCGTACCTCTCATAAATTTTACTTTTAAAAAAAGTACCTAAACAGGACAGTACTGAAACAGTACTGAAACGGACATTCTAAAAATTTTCTTAAGAGTTGTCTGCTTAAAATGTACGAGTTAGTAAAAAATAAAAATTCAACAATCGTTGCTACTAAGTAAATGGCAAGGCGCACAGTGGATCGAGTCGGTGGGGGAGGTCTGACAAAATTCGGAAACTTTAAACGCTTATACAAAACTTTGAGGTTTTTAAAATGGTTCCATTGGTTTCTTCGTGAAATTTTCTGCTCTAGGCACCCCTTGAAATCTAAAATGGGACGATATAAACATCAAAATTTTCAGTTTTAGTCGAAAATTTCATGTCCGACCTCTCTAATTGACTCGATCCACTGTGAGGCGGCAGACTTGCAGCCAGATTGTTGAAATTTATGTCGGTACGACAAGGATTGAAGTTCGATATATTACACGGAGCAGGTAGGGCTATGTCTTGTCTTATCTTGCCGACAAAGCCAGTTAAGTTTCAACAATGAGGCTGCTGAGGTGGAAATTAGATCTGAAACACGGTGAGATACTCACGACAGTGACGGCATCGTTGAGGAGGGACTCGCCAAAGACGACGATGTAGAGGATCTCGTTGACGTGGATCTCCTCGAAGACGGCGAGAACAGCAACGGGGTCGACGGCGGAGATGAGGGCCGAGAACAGGAACATCTCCAGGAGAGGCGTCTCCAGCCCGAACCAGCCCAGCCGCCCGGCCGCCCACAGCGAGACACCTGCAACCCACAGACAACATCATCAAACACCCATCACCCACTCACCCACCATCAGAGAAAAAATAACACAAACCTTCACATAAGCGTTCAGCCCACCTACAAACTAGGGGCCTCAAAGAGGCTTATCGATGGAACTGTTGACTGTTGCCTTTCAAAGATCGTCGGGCCGACGATCTTTGAGGGTAACTGATGTGTTCGAGATACATCACAGATCAGATCTTGAAACTTTCAAGGCATTCCGTGCAGAAATGGCTGAGAAATAGAAGAATTAGTGCCAGTTTGAGAGCCCCAGTTTGTACGTGGGCTGGACGTTTTTGAAAATACCTCGTATTCAGCCGTGCAAATGCCGCAATCACACGCGGAATTTAGCAGCTGAATGTGGAAGTCAACAGTCATCGCCCAACGGCTGAAATTTCGCAAATTCGAGTTATTTTCATCCAGATGTGTATCAAACCTACTCGGATAGTTCAGACACATCCAATATTAGTCCGATGGTTGCTGAGATCGTTGCTGAATTTTGTGCGTCACGCGTAAAATTCAGGCATCGGGCCGATGACTTCCACATTCAAGCTACATTTAGCTCCCACATTCAGCGTGTGATTGCGGCATAAGGAAAACCGCCGTATGAATCTTCAGGAGTAGCCAAATTTTCTTGGATAAAACACGAATTTCCTGGTAAACCTATGAATATTTTCTTTCCAATTTTTCAGATACTTTGGCTCCAAATTTCACCTAAAGCTCTTGAAAATCTCTAGGAAAAATTTTCATGGCTTCCTCAAAAATGAACATTTTCCGAAGGAAATTTGGCAACTCTCGAATGTTCATACGGCGTTTTTCCTTAGCGCGGCTGTATTCGACGTCACGACCAAGCAGCTTGTGACCCACCCCCATGTTCATGTTAACAGCGTTACAGAAGAAAGGTTCTTAAAAAAGATGCTTGATTTAGTTCCGCCTGAAAGGAGACGAAAGGGAGAAGGATGGCGAAAGGGGATTTTAAAAGAAATGAGGGAGTGCATTAGTGCAAAAATTTGATTCGATCCGATGATTTTTTAGCGAATTTTTTAAACCTATACGTTACAGAATACGAGATCATTTTCCAAAAACTTAGTATTTTTCCTTGGCTAGGAGGAAGTCAATGACATTTAAACAGAGCACGTATCTTTTTTGAGTGTTTTTACCTGAGGCAACATTCGTCCTTGTTTGCCAGAGGATTCTAAAGAATCTCAGTAAACATTTTAAAATCAGTGTGAAATTAAATTTTAAGTCATACTTAACCGACCTCCCACAAGTCAGAAGCTTGTACCGTTTATTTTTAGTGCTAAAAAAACTCATGTCACATGACATCTGCACGACCACGACTGCTATGGTAATGCTGAGCGTCGCAAACTCTGAAAAAGCCTTCAATTGCGAATGATACCGCACGCCCTGCGCAGGAGTTCAAATAGTTGTATGTTTGCTCCTGTGAGATTTTCAATGGTTTTGGCCGTTATGCAAACTAAAAAGATGATGCGCCTCTAGTGTGGATCATCCCAAAACTGTGATTTTAGTTGAACAATGAAATTGCACTTTTGACTTTTTCAGTTAAATGTTGTGCCCAATAGTAGCTACACTGTTCGTATAAACTCTTTTATCCCTATTAAACCTCTTGAAAAGCCTACTTCAGAAACTGTTTATTGACTGACAAAGGAGCGTCCCAGAAAGGAGACGTTTATTTAATCCCGAGGGGAAACTCGACTTTCTCGAGGCAAAATATCACAGAGACACCATTCAAACCCCTAGCACTGTGTTGCCACATTGTTCACACTAGCCCAGTATTTCAAAAAATAGTTGATGCTTAGAATCATCCGAACACTTGACCAAATGGATCTTGTTTGGCAAAAAAAAAACGAGTTGTGAGGAAAATAAGTTCTCCTTTGAGACGGGCGGACGCTGGTTGTAGATTTTTTTTCATGGTGAAAAAATTTCGTACCCGCTAAAATTTTAATTTTAATAAACTGCAGAAACTGTTTACTTTTGATATAGGCATTCAAAATAACAAAATATCGTATAATTTGCTATAACCTCTTCTTCCTCTCTCAGTTTGTCTCAGATATATTTACACGGGGTATAAGGATCATACTTGGTACCGGGAAAAATATCGACTGACTCAATATTTTTCCCGACTTCGCATATGGGATTTTTCCGTGGGACAAATCCCGTGAAAACGCCCCTCGGGGAGTGGAGAAAAGGCCTTGGAGTGTGTTCAAACGACGATTGTTGGGAAAAACGGCTCCGATTGAGTCAATCGTATTGACATGGACTCTGGCGAAATTAAGACAATTTGCAGATATCCGACAACACAGTAGGTAATCCCAAATGGCGCTTGTGATATTCTGCCGAATATCCGCCCCATCTGAAAAGCCTGTGCCACACTGTCGAAACACTCTATCAAAATGTCAAGGTCAAGGGCTGTGATTGGTCCGAGTCATCGAATAAGCCAATCACAACCCCCGACTTTGATATTTTGATGGAGTATTTTGATAGTGTGACATAGGCTTTAGTCTTGCATCGATGTTTGGATCGCGAGAAGCAGAGAGGATCCAAGCAACATCAGCTGTTGCTAAATTTAATGTGGCAATTTAATTTTTTACATGAAAACGGTTGTGCGGATTTTGTGAAAATTTCAGTGAAATTCCTGCATAGGACGAGGAAAATTTCTTAAAATATTCAAAGAAATCCGCACAATCGCCCTCTTGCGTAAAAAATGAAACAGCCCAGTTTTTGGCAATGGATGATTTGGCTTGGTTCCTTTCTGCTCAACGCGGCGTGGATTTAGCGTGGAGTTTGTAGGATAGTTCGTTTCTGTTTTCCTGGACAGGGCAGGGCAGGGGTGTGTTCTGCCGTGCTAAGGAAAAACGCCGTATGAGCATTCGAGAGTTGCCAAATTTCCTTCGATAAAATGTTTATTTTTGAGGAAAGTTCTGAATATTTTTCCATTAAATTTTCAGAATCTTTAGGTGAAATTGCGAACACAATTATTTGAAAAATTATGAGGAAAATATTCCCAAGTTTACCAGAAAATTCGCGTTTTATAAAAGAAAATTTGGCAACGCCTGAGGGTTTATACGGCGTTTTTCCTGAACACGGCAGTGTTCGGAGCGAGGAATGTTGGTGAGAGGGGCTCCGGTTGACAGGAAGTTTGGCGAAATTTTGGGTTCTCCTGTCGGTGCCACGGGTGCCCGGGTGGGAGCCTCAGGAACCAGAGTCGGGATCAAATCCATTTGTCTGCCGCGGCTCAGGAGCTCACCGGTCCGCTCCGGTCGTAATCGTCTTACTGTCTTCTCGGCGAATTAAGTCGAGTCGGGATTAGGTTCCAAGCACCACCCCCTAGCCCTCCCCCTCGCCCTCCCCCTCGCCCTCCCCCTCGCACTCCCCCGCGCCCACTCACTCCCGTTCTTTCCATGACCGTGAACGTGAAGGTTAGTAGTCAAATTGTGCCAAGATTCCCCGGATCTCTGCTTCGTCCCTCAATCCTCCACCCCACCATTCTCCGCAACAGTCCGGTGCAGTGGCGTGGCATGAATGATCGATTATCGATATTTCCCCATTTGAATCCGTGGTAAAGAATCGATTATTAAGGTCTTCACTGCGAACACCCTGTTAATCGATCCTTTTCCATAGGTTTAAATGACACATCAATCGATACATCGCAAAGCACGCCACGCCACTCGTCCGGTGCTCCCACTTCCCGGAACTTTTTACATATCCTTAAATTTTCCCGGAACTTTTGAAATTCTCGAAATGTTCCAGATCTTCCGCATTTTCCGGAACTTTTGAAAAAATCGGAAAAGAATCCCGGAATTTTTGACGGTCATGGAGTGGGAGAAATTGGAGCAAAAAATTTCAGAATCCAGAAAGTTTTGACGGACAAGGAATGGGTCCAGTGCTTTGCTGCACCAAACTTTTTTTAACAAACTTTCAGCGAAAATTCAGCAGCATAGTTTGCGATATAATTGATGCAATGCAATTCATTTAAGGTTTATTGCAATAATGTTAAATCAAAGGAACGCTTTCGATTATTATATAGGCACTCAACGCCCCGTCGCAATAGGAATTATTTTACCATTTAGAATGGCAGCCTGAGCTACCTCAGGAAATTCCTCAATGATATGATGTGTGTATTTGGAAAACCTCCTCAAAGTCGCGGGTGTTTCCCAATGTAAAAGAAGCCAACCCTATCAAAGTAGTGGACGGCATTGGCGTTCCCTCGAGCATTGAAACAGCGAACAATACTGCCGCGCTAAGGAAGAACGCCGTATGAGCCTTCAGACGTTGCCATATTTCCTTCAATAAAACCTAATTTACTAGAAAAATTGTGAATATTTTTCTTCATTTTTTTTCGACAATTTTGTTCGCGATTTTATCTAAAACGTCCGAAAGTGTCAAGAAAAAATACGCATAATTTCCTTCAAAAATACATGTTTTCTCCGGAGCAATTTGGCAACTCTTGAATGTTCATACGGCGTTCTTCCTTAGCACGGCAGAACAACGATGAAGCGCAACGCCGCGCCCGGTTTGTGACGGGAATTATTCATCACTTTTCGCGGGGCGAGGTAATAAAATAACAAACCTTCTTATCTAGGTGGTAAGTCAATTCTCGCTGGTCTTTGATTGTCGACTATGGCTGGAATACAAAGTAGGCAGCAAATGTGAGAGGTGTCATCAACCACCGGTTATAATTTTATTCATAAAGATAAGGCATGGCTTCCTCGCCCCCGACGGCGAGGTCAGATTAAAATAGGACCGCCCACTCGTTATCGTCTCGTGGGGATTTTTCTATATATTTAAAAAAAAGGAAGGTCAACTAAAGGTCATGAAACCTCATGTAGAGTGGAGACTTAGCTTTGATTTTATGGCGCGTGTTTGGTGTTGGAGGCGTGCAAGAGTTTCTGCAAATTATTATTGATTTCCAAGAAGTGGCTGACTTTAACAAGGGTTCCGCCCTTCTTCCCACTGAGTGGTTTCAAACTTGAGATAGTAATAATTTGTTTCCGATTGGAACTCGGAAATCGACTCTAAAAGTTAGCATTAGTTTTGTTGAAAAAGTGGGCCAAAAATGGGGGAGGAAGATATAACTACCTAAAAAAAATAATTGTTTTTCTATTATGACTTTCATGTGTTTGATTGTGCGGCGCCTACAAACCTAACGGGATACTTCACGCATTGCGCCATGCGTGAAGTATCCTGTTAGGTTTGTAGGCGCCTTGGCGCGTGTCACACTAATTGCCCGCCGGGCCACGGAGTTCTCTGGCGCACTGCGGGCTGATTGTTAAAATTGATAGACAAAGCAATATACAAAGAAGACAGAAAGGATATGGAGGGATCCTATTGGTGGAAGCGGGTGGTTGAAATGGACAAAAGAGGTAGGTAATAAACTACCTAACAACAACCCACGAGAGACCTTTACGAGTTAGTAGTCCCCTCGTATAGTTAGTCCACCATTTTTCTCCCTTAGTCTATAGTGACCACTCATTTCAACCAATAGGATTACTCTATACTTCTTCGTCTATCGCTTTGTCTATTAATATAAAAAAGGGATATGGAGGGATCCTATTGGTGGAAGCGGGAGGTTGAAACAAAAGAGGCAGGTAATAGACTACCTAACAACAACCCACGAGAGGCCTTTACGAGTTAGTAGTCCCCTCGTAAAGTTAGTCCATCATTTTCTCCCTCAGTCAATAGTGACCACCCATTTCAACGAATAGCACTCTCTACTTCGTATGTCTTCTTCGCTATCGCTTTGTCTATCAGTTTCAACCATGAGCCTGCTGTTCTTCTCCTTCAATAGAGAGGTGCTGGGAGCAAAACCTCTAATGGCGTGGCCTATCATTTAGCAAAATCACATGGCGCGGCACGCGTGACACGCGCCCAGGCGCCTACAAACCTAACAGAGATACTTCATGCATGGCGCAATGCGTGAAGTATCCCGTTAGGTTTGTAGGCACCGCTCAATCAAATACATGAAAGTCATGATAGGAAAGCAATTATTTTTTTGAGGTAGTTATTTCCTCTTCCCCCATTTTTGGCCGGGGACTATCTTTGTCAACAGAACTTATGCTGACTTTTAGAGTCGATTTCCGAGTTCCGATCGGAAACAAATTATTGCAAACTCAAGGATCACATTTAGCCAAAAGGAACCAGCACGATTTCAGTGTTGTAAAAATGCTGCTTCATCATAATCATCTAAAACATTTCTCAGAAAAGCAAATTTGTTTTGCTTCACACTGAAAAACTGCCCATTTAAGTAGAAAATAATTGTGTAGATTTTAATACTGTTCGTATATGGAGTATTTTTAAAAGAAAATAAGAAGTTGCACAATTTTGAAAACACTGGAATCGCGCTGGTTCCTTTTTGCTAAATTCGATGCTTATATCGACGGTGAAACTACCAAACCACGTATCGCGTTTGCGGTGTTTAAGTATCTACGCTCGCATTTTATTTTTTTGAAGTAGACCAAATCAATATCATTCCTTGAAATTTGCACAGAATTTTCTCCGCACGAAGAGGAAAAATCACAGAGATTTTCAAGACTGGACGTTAAGTAGTTTTTCATTTAAAAAATAAAGTATGACAGGAAGTCTGCGACGTCGCAAACCGAGATACGTGGTTTGGTAGTTTCACCGTCGATATGTTGCCTGTCTAACATGATTGAAAGAGGAGGACGGGACAAATTTGGGAAGAACCAATAAAAAGAGTAAATTTATCTGTGTATAAATTTCAAGCAAGAGTCTGCTGTTCTTCTTCTTCAACAGAGAATTACTGAGAGCAAAGCTTATAGTGGCGTAGCCTATATGTTCTTTGGTGGAAGTAAATAAATGTGGTTACCGATGGTGAGAGTGTTGAAGATGGTGCCGACGACGGCGAAGAGTAGGATGGTGCCGATGTGGTCGAAGAAGAGTCGATTGGGCATGAAGTAGCCGGCGTCGAGGATGATCGGCGGGAGCATGTAGAGGAAGAACGTGTCCGGGGTCAGCGGCGAGATGTGCAGGGAGCTCGTCACGAAGAGGAACAGCCCGATGGCCACCCCGACCGTGATCAGCAGGCACGACTCCGGGAAGATCTTGCTGAGGCCCGGCGACATGTGGAACCCTACAAGTAAACATATTCCATTACAATTCTATCCAAATATATAAGCACAATAGAGAATTTGCAGGTGTCTGAAATTTGATGGATTTCGTTTTTAAGTGGAAACTATTAAGTGAAATGAACACGAAGATACCCTTGGTTTATGAATTGAACAATTATTAGAGGAGATAAGATAAAATGCTTTAATCTGCTAAAATACATGTGTTTAAATGGAAAATGCCGCCAGATGACGTCACTAGGTGGTGCATTTTCTCACTTTTACATCTGTTTTTAAAGCTTTTCCCATGTCAGAAGAAAATTATGAAAAATATTGTGAAATCAGCTCTTCAAGCATTTTCAAATGAAGCAATAAAAAATTTGCCTGCTTTTCCTTTTACATAAAAACAGGTAGTCTACATCCACAGATTCAAGACAAGATACAACATATCGACGCAACTCTAGGGATGCGTATCTCCGTTGCGGTGTCCCCAAATCTCCGATCCTATTTTATTCTTTAAAAGGTGACCAAACCAACACCAACAGGCCTTGCAAATTTCCCAGAATGTTCTTTATGTGAAAAAGAAAAATCACTAAAATCTTCATAACAAGACGTTTCGTAGTTTTCCATGTACAAATTGAAGTATTACCGCAAGTCTGCAACGCCGCAAACGGAGATATGCATTTCTGCAGTTTTACCATCGATTTGGACAGAAATCACACATGCTGAATTTTGGCAAGAAAAATCACGGAAACTTTCAAGAATTAACGTTGAGTAGTTTTCCTTTTAGATACAAAATAAAGTATGACAGGAAATTTGCAACGTCGCAAACGGAAATACGTGCTTTGGTAGTTTCGCCGTCGATGTCTCCCCGAAAGTAATATTTTTCACCTGTCGCTACTTGCAGCACTCGTAGCACACGCAGCCTACTCGAGTCAAATCCTAATGGTGATTTCGGTTCATTTTACGTTAGAAAAATTTCACCGTGAACTGATTTTTCTCTTTGAAGAACAAGATTAGAGCTACCTTGTATCTGAGGAGGAAACAAATGTGTTTAAAATCAAGATCCAGTTGAATCTGCATTTTGCAATTAAGAACTACAATTTCTGGCTCATTCGTTAAAATAATTATGTGAATAGGGAAAATGGTGGAAGATACGTTGTTTCTAAACTGAACCAGAAATTGTAGTTCCTAATTGCAAAATATGGTCCAGTTTCCAGGTTGTTTTCAATAGCTGATATAATCTGCGGTAATTATGGTCTTTTTGAGCGAAAATTTTAAATTTGCTGTTTCTGAAAATTGTGAGGGTTTTAAGATGATTTTGGGTGATTTTCATAATTCATCGTGTACTTAATGCATGTCTTGTAGACGTTAACCTTTACTCTGTCTAGTAGCATTGACTTGCTGTAAAGATCATAATTTTACCTAGCTCGGGAGGAAATTCAACGAACTTGATGAATAAGCGAAGCACAAGACTCGAAAAAGTTACTGCGTTCCGGGTCCGTTGGTTGCAGCAATTAATTTTGGAAGTTTAATGGTTTAATAAGTTGGTAAGTTTAAGTTTTGGAATTGATTTGGCAGTTTGAGGAAGTCGAAATTAATTGCCGAACTGTTCGCGTGAACTGCTATGGCAAGTCATCTGCTCAAAGACGCCGTTAAATACGACACCTTTAAGAAAATTTTTAACATATTTTAAATACTAGCAGTCAACCCGCGCTTCGCGCGGCGATATTGCAGGAAACAAATCCGAATATCTCATAATATATGCGTATAACTTTTAATTCACTGATTTTATTTGGATCGCTGGAAAATTAATGCATACTTCTATAATTTAGGACTGAGTCAGGGAAATATAAGGTTCGTTAAAAAGTAACCATCCCTAGTACCGTGTGACACTATTGTTAACGAAAAGTTTTTGTAACTTGTCAAAGAGGTTTTTGAATGATCTTCGAATAACTTTTGATGATCTAGATGTAATGGTTGTACGCAGCTCTTGCACTTCTGTTCGATATTGTCAAGAATCATCTGAATTTTAAAAAAGTGTCCGCTTGTTGGATACCCAATATGCTCATTCATGCATACAAGTAGAAGCGCATGAAAGCTTTAGCAGACATTTTGGAGATGAACCAAGAATTAGATGAAGAATTCATGACTTAAATCACGGCACCTTAATTACGGGATGACCTTAATTACGGCAACTATGTATTGTCCATGAGATGCAGATGGACCCATTTCCTTAGCTCATCAAAAGTTATTCGAAGATCAATTTTATCAGCCACCCGTACGACCCACGTTTCTAGTGACCCGTACACTGAAAAAAAGTTCTGTTGTCACAAACCAGAATTTCTGGTTGTATTTCGCAACCAGATTTTCCGGTTGATTTAACCAGAATTACATTTGACTCAACTAGAATTTGGTGGAGTCAACCAGACGTCTGGTTGAGTCAACTGTAATTCTGGTTGAATCATCCGGAAAATCTGGTTGCGAAATACAACCAGAAATTCTGGTTTGTTACAACAGAACTTTTTTTCAGTGTACGTGCTTCGCACGTATGAAACATACAATCAGAGAAAACAGAATTCATCTCACAATAATCAATAATTAGTAGAACATGAATCGTTTCGATGTATAATACCACATTATAATGCGGCGTTACTATTGTAATTAATTATAATGTATTAGGGGCATTATAAGTCTTTATTACCACGTCGGAATGAAATGTTGTAGAATGAATTGAAAAGCATGTTGGCAAAATTTATTGAGAAAACCACTATTAAAACGACAACTACAGTTAATTTGAGTCCCACTGGAATTAATAGTTAAAAAATCCATGATTACACAACAAACCCACTATGAAAGCAACAACTAAAGTTCAGAAATAGTTAGGAAATCCATGATTACACTAGAAAACCACTATTAAAACGACAACTACAGTTAAATTGAGTTCCACTGGAATTAATAGTTAAAAAATCCATGATTACACAAGAAACCCACTATGAAAGCAACAACTAAAGTTCAGATAATGGAAAATAACTGACCCAAAACATTCAAAAAGATGTTATTTTCATCAGCTGCTCAGTTTAAAAAAAAAAAAAAAACAAAGTAAAAACGTTCGTGGGGAGGGGGGAAGGCGAATAAATATACGAGCAGTAAGCGTAGAAGAATAACTATGGAAACATAAGAAAGCTCAAAAACTTTCATCAGCTGATAATCGGATGAAACATAGAAAGGCCCGCAGTGTTGCCGTTCATAGCATAGAACAGCGGAAATCAAGGGCCAATTACGCGCGCAGCTAAAGGTATCCGACGGCCACCCGGCAACGGCCGCGTCAGGAAATATACCCGCACTGCTACGTCTCTCTTTCCAACACACACGGGCTTACGGGAATATCCGCGACTTCCGACCGCGGTTACTCGCGAACGGACGGGCGGATCGCGAAAAGAAAGCTTATTGCACCCCTCGGGGACAGTGCCCGTCGAACGGCTAAGTTCGCACCGATTCCGACCGGTGGGAGCGGGGAGGCGAGCGTGATGGATCAGTGTATGATCAATGTATTTCCCTTTTATTAGTTAGATAGATAATAATCCGATATTATCCAATTTTTCTACCCTTTGATCGAATCCTACGACAAAATAATTAAAATATCAAGGATAGTCAAAAAGTGCAAATGGTTATTAATTTTGTAGCGAGTCGTTTGTCTGAAATATATAAAAAGTTTACGATTTCTAGTTTTCCTTTACTTCGCTCCGTTTATTTAGATGTCAATGTTTTGCATTAGACTGTCCGAGTGATTACAGTGACTTTGACATAACTTCTCAACGTTCAGGCTTTCGTTAAAATTCGAGGTCGAATGATTCAGAGACTTTCCAACTTGCAAAGCTCCCTTTTCAAAAAGACATTTTAACTTTTACGAAGTTTTCTCTTTATTTCTTCCTCAAAGGACGTCCCTTTCAAAGAGCTTTTGCGGGAATCGTCCCTTTTTCAGATATCGGAATGCGTTTATGCAATATGACTTGGATGAAAGCTTATGCCGAGGCAAACTTCCAGGAAAAATTTCAGCTCGAGGCTGTTCCATGTAGCGTTGCTAAATTCCCTTCTTTTAATATACTGTCGGTAAAATTCTCAATGACCGTATCTCAGTTTGTTGCATTGCAGGTTTTTAGTAATATTTCATAATTTCAGAGGATAAAGGCTTGATGTCGCATTTTGAAAACTTCCGTGAGTTTTGTTCTCCGCGAGAAAAATATTTTGTAAAAGTGTCATGAAATGATGCTGATTTGTTCTCTATCAGGAAAATGAATTAGAGGGGGACATTTTGAAACACCGCATTCGAAATACAGCTGTCCAGAACTTCACCGTCGAAAAATGCTAAAATATTGACGTTTTTATTTTCCTGTAGACAAAGTTTAATTTAGTGTTCTTTCTGTGTTCTGCTTGGAGTGAAAATATTCTACCAAATTACTCTCTATCACCCTGATCATCAAGTAATATCGATGTTCCAGAAAATTGCGAAGGCCTATAGGGAAAGGTATACCTGAACTACGGACTGACTTAAATTTGATTTTATATGACGTGTTTGAGCTTTTCTTGCATGCAGACTTGCTTAATAAATGTAACTCTAAGAAGTAGTAATAATGCTTCAAAATACTCTTGAATATTTCAGCATGCACTTTTATTCTTTTTCCCTTGGACGGTCACATAAAAAAGTAATAATTGACAATTGGGTAAAATTGCACAGCAGAAACGAAGTATTTCCTCCAGTGGAATTTATCTTGGAAGCTTGATTCATCAGAACCTCGAGTTAGAGCCTCACACCACTCATATGCTCAAGTGTTTTACTTAAAAACGCCAAATTTTGCGAGCGACTATAGATTAATCACATTTTGCAATAAGGAACTTCTATTTCTGACTCGTCAATAAAAACTAATACAGCCAATAGGGAAATCTATGGCACATGTGCTGTTTCTCCAATAAACCAGAGATAGAAAATCCTTATACATTGCAAAACGTGGTCCAAATCAATGTA